GACTATGAAAGATGGTTTCTGATACAAGTTTCAGATTTGGATGGCTTCCAGCAATCCTTCTCTGATCTCTGTTCTGCTGGTGCCCTGAAGAAGGAGTCATGCATCAGGAAGCCATTGTGATAGACAGAGCCACACTGCAGAGAGACAAACCAACTTAAACTGGAGAAACAGCAGATAACCGATGGATACAATCAGCAAAATTCAGGGAAACAGTGGGACAGTACTGATCCAGAATATGACTGAGATACAGGGAGCACATCAGGAGCCTGTTTTCTTAGATATCAGAGGAAAGAGGAGTCTTAAGAAGGAATTTGAAGGGAGATAATGAGATAGCTCTGCAGATGTTTACTGTGATTCCCTCCTAGGCATGAAGGAAAGTGTGGGAGGAACATGGAGGCGCTTGTTTGAATATTTGTCATGTGGGGGTGGAAGCTGATAGTGTGGGTTATCAGAGAGAGATTATTGCATCTCTCTGGTGCAGCAGAGTTGGAGCAGCAGAAGAACATAAGGAAACTGCTTCAGCCATCAGACAGTCAGTTCCTTGGAGTTCATCAGTACCGAGATGTGGTTTTGGTAGGACAAGTAAAAGAGAAGAACAAGCATGTGAGAAGAGTTGTTTAGTTGATCTCATTATGATTTTGGAGAATGTCAGTGATGTTTTCCTAAGGAATCAGGAATTCAGCTCCATTAGCTTTATTGACTGTGTCTTATGACTGTATCCAGAACTTAGTGTGCTCACACAAAGATACCTAAATGTGGATCCTAGTAAGAACTGAATATCAAGGACATAAAATCTCATGCTGCTGGTTTAAATCCTTCTTCAGCTGACATTGGTAAGAGCTTTGCCTGAAACCTCAGACTAGGATTTCACTTTTTGTGCTCTATGCAGTACTTTGTATCCAAGCATTTTGTTCAGCTTGCTGATGATGATTCTTTAATTAAAATTTCCTATGAGCTCTTGATTTAACTCCCCTATCCATCTGTTATTGCACTAATATCCCAGATAATGTCTTACAGTAGCTCCCAGAGAGCCTAGTAAAAAAACCTGATAACATCATTTACTGTTGGGTTGTGAAATACAATCAAAGCATTATCTTTTCTAAGGGCTCCTACAACCTGAAGTAAAGCATGGCACTGAGAGCCAGGTCCAAGAGGTGTGAGCAGGTATCTCCACACATCACTATGCAGTTCCTTATGGAAAATAATGAATTGGATCTCAAAAGTAGCACAGCTGCCTGTGTTCTTGAGACAGTTTAAGGGTAGCCCCGTGTTAGTGCAGTAGCATTGCCCAGCATTGGAACAAGCTGGTTTAGTGCTTGTTGGGCTATTTTGGTACCGGTGCACTGTAGAATGGAAGTGTGCTTTAAATAGAAAATGTCTGTAAGATGCTTTTTAATAATGTGCTCTGCTATTTTTTCTGATGTATTCTATTTTGAAGAGCTTTTTTTCTCTATCTAAGCTGAAAAATTGTGCCACAATAATAACTAAGAGCACTCCTAAGACTGGAAGTAAATATATGTGAAAAGAACAACTTGTTATTTGAATAAGTTTGCCTGAAGGGGCAATTTCTAAACTTCTAGTAAAATTCCATTCCCTTCCTTCATGTTAATTAAATAAAAGCTGGGAGGATATGAGAGCATAGCATGGTAGTGTGATATATCTGGGCCACAGCTCAAGAAGTAAAAAGTCATCTTACCCCCCTTGTCTTTTTAGTGAGCGTTGTGATATTTCATTTTCAATAAGGAACTGCATTTATGCAAAAGTTTTCTGTCCTACCAAATGAAAGGAGGAACATGTTGACAGGAAACAAAAATTGCATAATCTCTGCAGAAGTCTATGACTGAATCACTGCTCTGTTCAACCCTGTGCCATTTGATAAGGCATCAGAAGGTTTCTTGCTTCCACTGGCCTGAATAAGAAAAGCATAAATGACCACTGCCATTCAGTCATCAGGGCCACATTTGTCTCAGTTATAAATTACCCCTCCATAGTAAAATGGGATTAAATAGTGCATGTTTATGGCCTCCAACAAAATCTTCTAGGGAGATCGTGTTATGCTTGGAATCAGTCTTTTCAGGCACTCTGAGTGGTGGAGTGGGTTAACACAGTAGCAATGTTTCTCCAGGTTTTCCCCCATTTCTCTTTTTCACACTTGGAAGCAGTGACTTCTGGCTGCTATGTGCTGGACCACATGCAGACACAGCAGGAGGCCCTTGGCTTCTCTGACTGCATCTGCTGTCCAAGCAACTGCTCCTCACTCCCTCAGAGGAAGACACAGTGGGCAAATAGAAATATTTTGCAGGCCAGATGGGGCTAATGGACCACAAACTGGATCATTCTGACCAAAATGCATATTTAATTGCAGGTTGTTTCTTAAATTTCTGGCAGGCACTGTGCTTGACTGGTTTCTGGTGACCAGATCTAGTTTTGCATTTTTCCACTCCTGATCATGTCAGTATTATTCAGAAGCACTCAGACTTTCCAGGAATTTCTTAATCCCTCTGAGATCAGACATACATACATACATCCAGGTAGTCCTCAAGTAGTGCAGTTATGTTAAGTGGCACTCCTACAATAAATAAATGTTGTCACATCCACTGGGGTAATTTCTGGAAAAACGTGCTCTGATTGTTTTTGTTTCATTAGGTTGTGTTTTTCATTCAAAATGTTGGCTTTAGGTTTGTGTTTCCAAAGGAAAGTTAATGCTGCTTGTCCAGAATGTAAGGAATTTCCCTCAGGCCTGTGCTTTTGCCCTTCATACCTCTAGGAGCAATTCTCTAGATTTCACCAGCTAGGTGGGGCTGATTAGGGTGACATGTATATGAAGTTGGCTAGGAATGACAGGGTTGCTGGTCTTTGTTATCCAGGTATTTTGGTTTTTTTTGTTTGTTTGTTTGTTCATTTGTTTTTGACATCCCAAAATTAGATCTCTGTTACATCTGTTACATATACATCTGAGATCCATAACATTTGTGGACTTCTTTCAGACTATCCCTTGGACCAGGTTATTTCAGTGTTACAACCTGCTTCTCAGCATTTCCCATGTTGCTTATTTAAATAAGAGCTGTTCCTTTACCTCCTCTGTCAAACAGTGGAACTTTTAGATCTCTTAAAGCAGCTGCTGCTGCACTCTGCACCAGCAGTGGTATCATGTCATTAGTGGAAAATAAAGCCTGGTTAAAGTGTTATGTAATAGGAAACATTTAATGAGCAGATACTTAAAGTTCTGTTTACATTGTATGCACATGACCAGTGAAGCTTTTCTTGGCTGTATTGTGTAAAGCAATATGTCTGTCCTAAGTAAGGAGTGAATTTGTTTTTCTAATATTCCCATCATGGTGGAACTAACATATCTGACATTGCAAAGCTTTGAGATTCTCCAAGAGAACGTAGAATACTATAGAGAGTATAAATGCAAAAATGAGAATAAGCATATTTAAGTTGAAGATGGTTTAGTTATTAAATGTGGTTGCTTAAAAACATTTCTAATGCCTTCTGATGATGTCTTTGGCTGGGCCAGTGTCTTCTCCCTTTCTTTCCAGATAGGACACCAAGTATGGAGTTGGTAAAACAGGACTTAAAAATCAGCCTTCAGATCCATCAGAAAGTTTGTAGTTATCTGTGTTCAATTAAGGCATCCAGAAGAAGAAGCCTAACATATGAGGCATATCAAGCAACAATAGGAAAGGGCTGGAAAAAATTTCCTAAAAAGGACCATATTGGCCAAAGTCACCCAGACAAGACATTGTCTTGACTGGTAAGATGATGCCAATGGTCAGACTACAAAGCAAAAAGAAAAGAGATCAGACTGAGAACTTGAACTTAAGTTATGGCTAAAGTCCAGCCCTCCAAAGGAATTAATCAGATGAGGTTTGGAAGGCTTTGTCTGGGAAAGATATCTTCTCTGCCTTTAATTCTCTGGCTGTTGTTATAAAGGAGACTCTTAGGCCCTTTCATTAGACATGCAGTATGTGCAGTTTGGTTGTGCAATAAGTACCAGTGTGTGTGCATGAAACTGATGTGTGTTGGAGCTCCTTAGTGAACTCAGGACAAAGCTTGCTCTTGGTCAGCAGACCTGTGGGCAACTACTGTTCCCTGAGCTGCTGCACACAGTGCTGGTCCCACCACACTTGGCTGTGTTTAGCAGTTATCTCAATAAAACTGATCCAGTGAGTCAGTCATACACAGAACAGGCCTTGAGTAAATGTCCTGTTCAAGTTCTCTTTGTAGCAGTTTCTAAAGATGAATCTGTTACTGAGGTAAGATATGCAGTTGGTTTTCCATAGAAAATGGAGTGGTGGAGTAGAGTGTATGAAATCTTACAGCCCATAAATTTTGAGCTGTCTATGGGTGATCTTGCTCAGATTGTCAGCACTGTAGGAAAGATCTTGTAGGAGGCCAAACTTTTGAAAATACCCAAAGCTGACTTTTAAATTATAGTCAATGTACTATCCAGTACTACCTGAAGTGTTAAAAATGGGTTGGAAATGGGACACAATGTCCTAAATAATCTTTTAAATCAAGTGGACAGAATGGTTATAATAATGATAGGCATGAGTCAAAGGGGAAAAACTTAGCAGTTTTTTTCCCCCTTCAGAAAATGTGTATAAGGTGAACCTCCTAGGCAGGCCTAGCCAAACTACTTTATTTCTTATGTATGACCCTCCAAGTCATGGCTTCTAGTGCCATTTCTTTGTCCTCTAACACCAGACAAAATAGGAAGCCATAATTTAGTCACCTCCACTTGTTCAATTAAAAAATAGCTTGTCTAATCATGGAACATGCCAAAAGATTTTAGGTAACAGTTTTTCTTACTACCTGTACATTCGTTTCTGCCCACATAAAGTTTTCCAGGAAAACGACTTTTACATTCTGCATCTGAAAACTAATAAAAATTTTTAAACAAATTCTTTGCAGGGTTTTAATTCCAGCTTATTTTTCTTTACCTTTGTCTGATCTTAACAGCTTCCTCTAAAAGTGTGCTTTTTCTCTTTATGCAGACTGTATGTGGATGGACCTTTTGGAAGTCCCTTTGAGGAATCCCTGAACTACGAGGTCAGCCTCTGCGTGGCTGGAGGAATTGGGGTTACGCCATTTGCATCTGTGCTCAACACATTGCTGTAAGTAAGCTTAAGCCTTTAAAGCCATTTTGCCCCAGTTTACAGCAACAATGAATGTCAGAAAGGCTTTGAGTGTCTTAAAAAACTTCCATGGGCATAAGTTAATGATTCCTTGAAAAGAGGTAGAGGACTGAGATGTCCCTAAAGGGCATAAATACTCTCATACCAGCTCTGTAACCCAAAGTGTTGTGGCAGGGATGCACCTGAACTGGGACAGTGTCACCAGCCTCTGTATCCTGCCACCAATCAAGCCTCTGATTAATCTAGTCACAGCCCTTCAGCAGGACTTGTTCCCCCAGTCCCAGCTTAGATGAGACTGTGTACTGTAACAGTTTTTGGGAGTCAGACAATTGTGATAATCCTTTGCTGGAAATGCAGGACCAACTCTCCTGGTTTGACTTTTTAAATGTCTAAGCTTGAGGTTTTAATATAAGGGGATCAGTTTGAATTCAGATAGTATGCAGATGTTTAACTTCATTTGAAAAGTTTAAATTTTAGGTATGCATTTTTCGATTTTTCCTTTCTTGTTCCTCTCTCTGTTTTAAAATTTCATTTTGATGCAAAGCCTTTGATATTCTATGCAGATTAAACTATCCACCTCTTGTTTATCTGTCACATTGACAGCATGGTCCCCACTAAATCTTATGCTATGTGAAATAAACTTCCTTTTATGATTGCTATTGATTTTATTTATATTTGCTAGAGTTATTGGTTAAGGGCTCCAGTCACAGGTTAAGCACCCCTGTATCAAATGCCCAATATAAACAGCCAGCCAAGGCAGCAAACCTTCCCTGAGATGCCATCTGGCTTTGGGAGGGCTTTACAATGCACAGTTAAAGCATTTCTTGCAAGATGAGCATGCCATGGTCAGCTCTAACTCCAAAGTGAAGTGTGGAATTTAGGTGCTGTACACATGCTTCTGTCCTTAGCCTGGGCTGGACCTGACAGTGCCAAGTGCTACTGAAAGTTATTAGCTTTGTGTGTCTCATGGTGCTGCAGCCCCCAAAGACCATCTTGGGCTCCCTCATTTTCTTTTCTTGAGAGCATACAGATCACCTTCTCAAAACCAGGGTGCATTTTTGCTGAAAGCCTGGGACTCAGGTAGATAAAATGACTGTTTTCCTTGTGATGGATTATCCCTGATAGTGTTTAGCAAAAATGTTATGGAACACAAAGATGGGCCTGCAGCAGGTAATTAGATGTTTGTCTCTAATGTGTGTTGGCCGAGGCTGTAGGAATTCTCACAGACACTGCAAGAAAATGGTAGTGTCCAAAGGATTTTGCAATGTCCATTTATCTGCATAAAGCCATAAATTGACTTCCAAGGAGCTAATTCCATAGCCTGACTTTTTAGCTGCTCTTCCCTTGTGCACTGTACAATATACAAGGGAATCATTCTGGGGAAAAGTAACAGTCTGCTTCCCTCCTCAGTATTTAAACATCAACAAGACACTGGTTTGGTGGCTGATCAGTGTGTGTCTTTGCCCTGGCTTGGAAGCAGATATTGGCAGATATGAAGATGCAAACTGCCTGATGGTGCCAGCTCTGCAGAGCAGCCAGGCCAGTCCTGTTGTGTCAAGGACACTCAGGTCTAGGAGAGATCCAAAGTCTGTCCTTGAAATCTTGTTTCCTGCTCCATTGTTTTCCTGTTGTATGTACATAATTTGATTCATGCCCCTGCCCTTCCCTCCACTTAGCCGTTGAACCCTGTGCCCTATTTTAAGAAATTATGATGTACTTTATGGAAAGGTAGAGGCTTTTTATGCACAAGAGTCTGTAAATAATGGCTGTTATGGGCAGTGAAACACAGAAACACACAAGAAATGGGGGTTGTAATGGGGGATTGCACTTCCCCTGCACAGTATATCCTGCTGGAGGTAGACCCAGGCATATGTGTCTGGGGTGCTATTTTAAATCTATGCTGGACTTGTTTGATGAAGTCTGGCAATCCAGCCTCTTTGTCCTGATGCAGTGTTTCATCACCTAGAGTGGTGTTTGTTACTGAACTGGGGCATTTCAATACAAAATGCCTTGCATTTTTCTCTTTTATCCCTTTTTTAGTGAAAAGCACTTATTTTCCTTGCTACTGCTTACAGTTCTCTTGTCATATCTGACCAGATTGTGACCCTTCCTAAGTGCTTGTCTTAGTCTAGGCAGTCAGAAAGAGATGGAGGAAATCGTGATTGGAAAGTCTGCAGTTAACAAATAGAAAATTGGAAATCAGGACTTGAAAGACACTGTACTCCCCAGTCTGAAAGCACTTTTTTAACTCTCTCTCTGGGGAGTTTACACAAAAGGTGAGTTCTCAGTTCTATGTGCTGCTGAGGTGCTGCTGATGTTTCCATCCTTGCTCCTCAGGGCAGAGGTGTGGGGAGGCAGGACACTGGTTGGAGCCATCACTTATATAGATCTATTAACCCTATATCCTGGCTGGATATGCCAGCAACTCTACAGTTTGGAATAAAGTACAGTGGGTATGGAGAGATGTATCATGAAACTTTTCGACCAGGCCTGGCTCCTAGGATTGGAATTTTAATTTTAAGTGAACAGGCTATGGCCTTCTCTATCTGAAAATCATTCTAGGAGGAAAAGGAGGAAACTGTGCACTGATCATTTCAATGATCAGAGCAACATAAACCACGTAGTTGCCTAACTAAGAAAATGCTTCCTGAATACTTTTGCTTTATTTGAACTCATTTTTCATCAGGATATTTTTATTTCTATTTTCTTTCCTAGTTAATTTAAATCCTTCCTTTGTACTTATTTGTGTTTTAATTGAATTAGAAATCTGACACAAGAGTCCTGTTTTTCTAAGTGCAATGCCAGAATCTGCCCATGGCTGCACTTTATCCACCAGCATTTTCTGAGGTCTGTAATATATCACATGGTTCCCTAACACAATGGAGCTCTGATTTCATTTGGTCTTTGTGATTTTGCTACAGTATTAATTATAATCAACCAAAGCCTTTCACACAGAAAGGCAGAATTAAGTCCTGACATGACTACATTTGTCAATATTTTCCACTTACAGGCCTCTTTATAAACCTAATAAAGCATTGACATAACACACTTGAACTTAGAATGTGTCCTTTGCTTTGAAATAAAAGTTTGATGATGATATATGAGTCCATATTTGCTGCCCAAATCATCTGTATAGCTGACAATTTCCTAGTGTGGAAGCAGTGTCTGTGATGGCTGTTAGCTCTGTGCTAGATATTTAATATTCTCAGGATAGTCCGAATAGGCTGCTTTGGTCAATTCAGCATCTGATGTGTCATAGCTTGAAGAACAACTTAGCAGTTAGCTTCTAAAGGAAATTCATGTTTCCATTAATAAATATAAAGCATCCTGATTAATGTTTCCATTTAAAATTATAATTTTTCACTACCCACACATTTTATTTTCAAGTGATGGCTGGAAATGCTACAAGCTCAGAAGACTCTACTTCATCTGGGTGTGCAGGGACATTGAATCTTTCCGCTGGTTTGCAGATCTGCTCTGTATGTTGCATAACAAGGTAATGGGTGTTGCTTGGAGGGATCCTGACAACTTAAATGCAAGGTATGCCCAAGCCACACACCTGGCATTCTGTACAGGATGGCAGCCTTGCTCAAAATGAGTGAGCTCCAGCAGTAGCTTGGGCTGCCTGATCCAGGCTTCATTTGTTCTTGGATCAAAACCAGTTTGAGTATCCATCACCAATGTTTCATTGCAGTGTTGCCATGTTCCGGTAGCCTGGACACTTACCTGTGTCCAGACTACTTTATGAGATGGAAGAAGAAGCACATGCAGTCTGGAAAGCCTTGAATGGCCTTTAGTCATTTAGTCATTTGGCTAGTAGGCAGATTGAAAAGGCAGTGGGATTTATAATTTCAAGTATATTTTAAGAGCCATGTAGCTTCCTAAAATAATATTTTTTACACAACACGATGTGCTATACGAGCACATCCTCTTCATTGAAAAGCTTACTTCATTGATGCTGAAACCCATGTACCTCAGCATAGTAGGCACAAATGACTTCATGCTTGCATTAAGAAAAAGAATATTATTTCACTAGCTGTTTTTATCATCCTTCCAGCTTTGGCAGGAGAATCGGCCAGACTATATAAATATCCAGCTGTACCTCAGTCAAACAGATGGAATACAGGTATGTGGCCAAATGTTGTTTGTAAACTAAACTAGACCTTGGAGTAATAGGCAATGCAAACTGTCAGTCAAAGGCAGAAGGGGATTACTGCAGATGGTAAAAACAGGAGATGAGGCCATAAACTCGGGTGACTGATTCATTAACAGAGCAATACAGCCAGTTCATCCCCACAGCATTAAGAGAGTCTAGTGCCATACCCTTAACTTGATTAGGTGTAGGCAGAAATCCATATCTCCCTTTTCTAGGAACAAGGTCCTTCCAGGCCAGGCCACAGACCAGACAGTTGGCCGTGTTCGATGGGAAATCTGCATCGTTTCTGGGCTAAGAACCAAACCAGAATAGTTATAGGAACCTGCAAGCTCAAATCTTCTTTTCCATATCTGTTTTGAAAGAATCTAGCTATTTTTAAAAACTTTTTATTTCATTATCTCGTATATAGATGAAAGGTAGAAATTTCTTGATGTGTAAGACTAGAAATTACATGGAACTGTCAGTTGACATGTATTGCCAATGGCTAATTCCCCAACTCTTGGCATCTCCTGTAACTATTTATGCTTGCAATCTTCATTTTACATGATGTAGCATATAAGCCTAGGTACAAGTCTTTACTGTGCCACGTCAGGAAGCTTTCCATTGACTACAGGGGGCCCAGAGCCAAGCCTAACAATTACTGGAAAACATGAAATGCTCTGGTAGGAACACAATCCTGTAGTTTAAATGATGTAGTAGCTACAGTAATGACTATGACAAATGCAATGCCTGGACAGCATATGTTGATGGAAATGGAGTGCTTGAAAATGCCTAATTGATGAACCTGCTATTTTTAGGTTAAAATTAAAACCTGAAGCTGGACTGCAATGCAATATGATAGGGAAAGTGAAATAATAGTCAATTCAAAGGAAGTTTTCTGATACTATATAGTATACAAATACTGCATAGTGATGCTAATTAAGCAGCTGCTGAATTTATTCACGTCAGCTTTTTGATTGAAGTCATACTTTAGAGTCACTTTTTTTGTGGCTGTTGAACAAAACTGCCACGAAGCATAGTGCTGCTCATCATTGCTCAAGGAGGAGTTAAGTCTCCATGGCCATACAGGTGGTGTGTTCACTGATGTTAGTCCAAAGTGCTGACTGCTGCCAGAATTCAGGCAGTTACATTTCTTGCTCCCTTTATGAGAAGCCCTTGTGCCTGTGTGGTTAGAGCTCACCCTGCAGCAAGTGCCTCTTGTCTATAAAAGCCCAAAGGAGGCTGAGTTGGTCAGGACTGTGTTTGCATTGGTGTAAGCAGTGTTTTGGGTTGTTCAGCAAGGGAGGGAATGTGGGAGCCTAGATAATGTGTAGCTCTCTGCCTCTTGCTGCTGTGTTAGGACAGCAAACCCAGGGTTGTGCCCTGCAGTGGGAGGGCATTTCACCTTATCAAAATGCTGGTGAGTTAGCATTCTGGAATGGAGTGGGTTCCATCTGGGGAGCAGTTTTGGCTTCTTTCTGCTGTTGCAGCAGCTCAAAACAGCTGGCAAACTACTCTCAGGGAGAAAGGTAAGATTTCCCTTGTTACTTTTTTAGACCTAGTCATCTTAATAGTTACTTGTACAATGTTTAAAAAAAGACTTCAGACAAAAATATGATTTTTGCATCAGCAGCATTTCTTCCAGCTTAGCATTAAAAGCCAGCATGGGAATGAGTAACAGGAGCATGGTTATTGTTCTATGGATTAAATGAATTGGTTTAAAAGTAATGTAGGAATTAATGAGCAGCTGCATGAGGGACAATGTATATAACTATGTATATAACTAACACCAAGGAGAGCCATTGAAAAGACACTGAGCAGAGGTATTGGTGCATAAAATGGCTGCAGCTCCCATCACAGCTGTTTCGTACTTGTGCTCAGGTTTTACACCTCAGCACTCTGGCAAGTCAGCCAATAGCAGAAGTGGGAGCCCTGGGTGATATGAGGCAATTTGCAAATCAGGCAGAATGGATTTTTTTGTTTCTTGCAGAAAATAATTGGTGAAAAATATCAAGCTCTAAACTCCAGGCTTTTGATTGGACGACCCCGGTGGAAGCTCCTGTTTGATGACATAGCAAAGTGCAATAGGAGGTAAGTGCTCATCCACGTGAAGGGTGCCACAGTTGGATGGCTGGACATATCTGTTCCTAGCTATGTTTGTATGAAAATATTTCTAGGATTTATCTTGCTGAGAGATAGCCTATACAAACTGAAACACGGTGGTTTTTTTATGTTCAGAGCAGTTCAGCTTCTCATGCAGTTGAAATGTTCAGTGGCTCAGAAAAGTAGCAGATTTTCATCTCACTGCACAGAGATTACATGTGTTCTTGTCCGTGGCAATGTCTTGCTTTCAACATATGCTGGTTCTTTATATGAAGTTACATTTCTTAAAATTGTTGATTCATGATTTGTAATGCTAGTATTCACAGAATTCACAAGGAAGAATTTGAATTACCTGTATTGTTTTTATTCATAAGATTTATTGTCTTTTGGGTATTTCTGGCTATGTTTTATTCTCTGTTAAAACCTGGCAATGCCTTTTTACTGTGCTGGGAAAGCATATTATGGTCTGAAAGACAATTGTAAACCAGAGAAGACATGCATATAGAATGTCTTTGTCCACATCCAACTTTGTTGGTTGAATATTTTTCCTGCTGCTGGCAGTTCATTGCCTCAAAAGCTGATCTGGAAGAAGGGACTGTGTGAATCTTCCCTAATCCACTTCTGGCAAAGTCAGTGGTGTGGGAGCAAACCCCCCTGAGCGGCTATTGACAGTAATCTGGGTGCATTGGGTTTGAGAGGTGCTCTGCAGAACTTTCCCTCAAGAAATTTTTGTCCTCTCTTGCACTTGCGAAGTGAAATCTACCCATGGCTTGTTGGCTCTTCTCTTCTAAGGCTAGATATGACCAGGGGACACTGAGCCCTGGCTCTTGAGAAATACTGAGTGCCAAATGTATCACTGTGGGCAGTGTGAGCTGCTGACAATACTTGTCTTGGATTCAGGTCATAGAGGATGTTGTGAGCAGGACACCCCATAGGCTGCTACATCTCTAGTAAAATTTTCATACTTAGAGAAGGGGTTTAGAGCAAAGAACCTTGGGAAAGAAAAGGAAAGAGAGTTCACAGGGCCAAGCTGACTGGGCCCAAAGATCTCTGCGTAGTGGGGTGTTGACCTTTTATGCTCCATTCTAATGTCTTTGTTTAACTGACTGCAGTTTTAAAAGATGAAAATTATGAGGTTCCTGCCACTTCCCTCTGAGGATGTAAGAGCACATCATATAGATGAAGCCATTAGTAGTAGTAATCATACTTGATTTTTCTTTTTTGCTTTCCATTTCATTACTCCTAATTAGACTTCAAATACCATTTCCTCTGCATTTTCACATCAGGTCTTTAAATTGGGCTGCCATTTTCAAGCAATATTTAATACAAAAATAATGTTATCTTTTGATTATCTTGCTAAGATGTAGGCTTTGTCCCTCTTTGTAATCTCTTTATCAAGGTTTATATAGGTCTGTACCTATAGATGGTAATGGTGCCCAGTAGCGAAGCCTTTGACAACCTCAGCTGTCCTGCAGAAATTTACTTTTTGTAGCTAATTATTCTCTGTATTTCCTTGAATGAGATGGGAACTTTAGTTTTTCCCTCTAGTCCAATTTCCAGGTCTGCTACTACCTTTATTTCAATTCTTATTTCTCTGTAACTTTCCACCTAAATGTCCCTGCTGCTATACAGAGACCAAAAAAACCAAACTAAAGCAAAACAGGTCAATCAAGTTGTTTGCAACATCTGGTGCCAGTGTTCAGACTTTCACATTTGCAATCATCCCCTTGGGCTTGTTTATGGGCAGCCAAGATATTTTCCAGTTTTTATCTTGTGATTTTAGGAAAAGCTGCATATAAATAAACAGGCAGCTGGCAAAGCTCTCTGTCTCTCTGTGTAACCGTCTGATTGCTGTGTGCTTTGTGGATTGTTGCTGTTGTTGCTGTATGGGTCTCAAATAAGCAAAGTGCATTTGTAAGTGTCTGAGCTTTGCCAGACCTTCAGAGCGTGACATGGGACAGCCCAGCATCAGGTTCCTGCTCCTTTTGGGTTTTCGGGAAAAGAGGAGCGGATGTATGCCATCTACTGTTCGTATTTCATATGACACCTGCAGACCCAGCAATCCGAACTGGAACAGTTACATAATAAATTACTGGTCTTGTTTTTTCATGCTTTTTGTGGGGGAATGGAGCAACAGCCTTGTTCCTGTTCAGTTGTGTCCTGGATGAAAAGCTTGTACCATGCTCAGTTTGCTTAGGTCAAAAAGGCATGTGCTTTTTTCCAGGTAGAGAATGACCTAGAAAAAGACATGAATACCTGTAGGAGGAAAAAGCATGGAACACCATGATACATTTCTCATGTGATCTTAAGGAGAAACCTCTCTCTAGGAATAAATGTGGGACTTAAAACAGGAACATTTCAAGTCCTGACTCTGTCCTCTCAATGTAGCAAAATGTTTAATCTCTCTCTCAACTCCTGCTGTTCATAAAATGGATGTAAGAGTATGTGCTGATCTACTCATCCTATAGGAACACTGAGGAATTACTTGCTTAGTGCTCTGAAGGAGTAAATTCTATATTGAAGTTTATAGTTATTACAAAGAATGGCCTATAACATAGTTTCCTTAACTGTAAGCATGTTAATGGCATTAATGAAGATTTTCAGACATAGGACTGTACAGCTGCCTGTTTTCATCTAATACACAAAGGGAGCCTTTGTTCCAAACAAATGATAGATAAACAGTCAGGGTAGTAATATGCTGTTCCATGTAGTAGCTTTCCTCAGCCACCTTTCTGTTTGTGTTCCAGCAGCCAGGCAGGATCTGGGGGAGGAGAGGCAGAGGCATCTGCAGGCAGGGATGGACACAGGGGAGGAAGGTAGATGGTGCATGAAGGGGTGTCCAGACTGGATGATGGTGGTGAGTAACCCAGGAAGGCAATCTGAGAGCCTGTGGCTCACTGCACAGAACAGTGACTCAGTTGGGTTTCAGGGGACCTTAGCCATGGGTCTCTTGTGTGACTTCAGGCAAATAATTTAACCTTCCTGTGATTCTAATCACTAGCGAAAAAATCTGTATACCTTGAAAGAATGTTCTGGGATACTGGGATGAGAATACATTGGCACTATGTATTCACTTTGTTGGCTGTTTATACATAATGAAAGAGAGAGGGGCAGCTGAACTCTTTGGGGTTTATTTTATCAGTTCCCTGTACTAATTCAACTAAAGAAGAAGAAAAACAAACAAACAAAAAACCCCAAACCCAACAACAACATTAATTCTTTCAATTAAATACACAGTAGAAGACAGAGTCTTGCTGGCAGCTCATGAATTCTTTTTCTCCAGTGTGCACAGATTAAAGGGATTTCAGAGTCTGCAAGTGCTGAGGATTCTTATTTGAGAGCAACAAGCAGCAGCTCTCTCATTATTGCAGCAAATTCAGCCACCAGCACGGCACCCATTGCCAATAAAAGGAGTATTGCCAGAACATGAAAGCTTAATAGATAAACATAAGGGTGAAAAAAGTATGAATTATGACTTTGCCTGATTGACATGAGAGATGAAGTCATTGAAGGCAATTGCAATCTGTGTTGTAAGGTGCCTGCACAAGGACACCACTGGAGTTACCTGCATAACTTTTGGGTGATTTTTGATGTTTGAGTGCTCAGTTGTACCATGCCAGTGTTGCTGTGCACTGGTGCAGCGTGCTACTCCAGCAGCTGCCTGCCACCTGACATGTACGTGTGGCAGTATGCACCAAAGATTTATTCTTAAATCAGTTCCCTCCTCTCATCAAACACATGCACAGGGAGCTTTAAACTGAATTTGATTATTTAGCATATGCTAAAATACTGTATATTGAATAGTTATTGCATAAAATATTGAAACAGTCCTGGAGGCAAAACCCAGGATTCAAACCTCCATCCGCTTGTTGAGTGCTGTAGATCACAATAGTGAGAGCCATGTTCCCTCTTGTATGCTTTTTCTTCATCCTAGTAAATCTTTTAGATCTTTTTCTGTAGTGGCACAATTTCAACAGGAAGAAGAAGAATTTTTTTTTTTCATGATACAGAAAATGCAGCACTGCATTGTATTTCCCTGCTTTCTTTCCCTCTCCTCATCTTTAAAAAAAGGGCGATAGTGAATATTGTGAATGGCTCAGTCCTGCTGTGTTTTGTTCTGAATTTGGCTAAAGTTCCGAGCCCTGAAATGTTGTATGACTGTAAGTCTGACTTGCAGCCTGTTTTTAAGGTGACCAGAGAGCAAAGAGCTGTTGTCAGTAGAACAGTGTGAAAAAGTCAGGTTGACTAAAGGCCCAAGATCTATGGGTGATGAGCAAGGATCATACTCTGTGTTTGACTTCTTGTAAGATTTCCAATATAGATGCTGAAGGAAAAACTACATGCTAATGTGAAAGTAAAGCAGTAAAATTATTCTGTTGCTGCCAGAAATAATCATGGGTTAGTAGTTCTCTGTTTTCATAAGTGTAACAAATCACTGTTAGTGATTAGATATGCTTGTGTAATTCATGAGTTACACTAAGGAAGTCTTTATAGTGAGACATATTTTTAACAAAAAAAGTGCTTAATCATGGGAAAAAAAATAGAGTGAAAAATAGTAATATTTTATCATTTGGTATCTTGAGACTAAGATGAAGCACTTCTTCCTTAGAGTTGTCTTAGTCAGATAAATAAAAGGGTTTGTTGTAGAGATACTTAGGAGAGATGTGGTGACTTCAGTAAAATTTACTGCATCATCTAGTGAACTGTTCTCACCTTAAAATCTGTATGTAGGTGCCTTATGTATAACACCATGAGGCCAGGATCCACTTCTGTCTCTTATTGGAAATTACTGTTTATTCACAATGTCATAACTTCCCCTCCCTCTTTTTTTTTTTTTTTTTTTTTTTTTTTTTTTAACAGGAAGACCATTGGAGTTTTCTGCTGTGGACCAAACAAAATCTCTAAGATACTTCATAAACTGAGCAACAGCAGCAACTCCTATGGGACAAGGTTTGAATACAATAAAGAATCCTTCAGCTGAAAATCTCTTGGAGCAAGACTCTCTAGAAGATAAAAGTGCAATTTTTTGTTTGTACAACATAAACGTTCAGCTGTGGTTTAAACAGACAGAAATGTACCAAAGAATAGCACAAATGTTTTTATTTATGATTATTTAAGACTGATGGATGCAGCAGTATACCAACAAATAATCAGTGCTTTTACTCAAATAGGCTCACACAATATTTGTGGTGGGAGGGATTCTTTGGATTTATTTCTGTTAATTAAAAAATACAGAAGCTGGGGAAAGACACAATTGCTTTATAAGCTGATGGAAGAAGAATCTGTGGAGTGTTTGGACTTCTTCCACTTCAGTCCTCTGAAGCTGGATCAGTAAAAGATACCCCAGGTTAATCCAAATGGCAAAACATAGTCTATTACAAAGACTCTTGCTTTTGTTGGTATACAAATCTTAAGGCTTTGGGGTGAAAATACTCCATGTTGAAGATTTTATTATACATTGCAGAACTGGGATTCTGTATTTAAAATATAGAGTGTTACTCTTGCTAGTCTACTTCTGTAATGAAGTTAACCTAAGAAAAAGTGAGCACAATTGTGTAGCGCCAGTGGGCAGCCTCTGCTGTGATGTTAGTCACAGCCTTTTGGCAAGCACGCATCTGTACGTGGAGAACTCTGTATCTTGCATCAGTTCAGTATTCAGTGAGTTTGCAAAATAATTATGATTTATGCAGTCATAAAGATGGAGCAAGAAAAGCAATGAACAGGAGCAGACAGGACCTGAAGTTTTATTATACCACACACTACTCAACATGGAAGTTGCACTCACTCTGCACTCACATGCCCTGAATGTTAAACACTTCAAGCTTTCAGATGCTCTGACTGATTATTTTACAGCACAGCAGGTTGAAATCCAGTTTTAGGGGTTCCAGTATGTTTGGTTGACTCTGATCCTCTAAGTGTCTTCCCTGGAGCCCCCTTTGTTTGCCCTGGTGCTGCTGAAAGTGGAATGAGACCAGATCCACAGCAGAGTGAGAATGAACCCTTCAGCTCTGTGGCTCCTTGGCTGATGTGTGCAGATAAAAACCTTGCAGGAGCTGCAGTATGCTTTCAGTTTGTGCCATAGAGGAGGATCTCAAAACATCCCAATTTTAAGCTCTCCTTCCCTTCTCCTCCCCTCAGCTATCTTCTGCCCATAATTGCCATGGGAGAGCTAAAGGTTGAAACTGGTACTTCATAAATTTTTGGTTCTGAGGAGCACCTTTTTTTGTCCATCCAAATAGCCAATCCAATTCCCCTTATTTCTTATTTTCTGCTTTTTCCTTACTTTGCTGAGATGAGGGCATTTAAACAGGGATCAGACACTTAGCTGGCATAAATAGGCACCACTCTAGTGTTTCTTAATAGATCAGCATGACTTTAACATGGTGAAAACCTTCCCCTTGATCTCCAGCAGAAGCTTGGGAATAGTACAATGTAGTGTTTGCAGCATACACAGGCAGAGGCTTGCTTGAGAACTCGTGCCTGTGGTTCACCTGTATTTAGGGCAGTGCATTTGCTTTCATTTACATCTATCCAATGGATACCTTTTGTATGTTAGTGGGAAAGGCACTAAATTTCTGCATGGGACACAGACTCTGTATACCAGAGTCTGCAAGTATCAGTGTGAGTGTTCAGAGGGAAGCATTTTTCTAGTAGGTGGTGTATGGGCATCCTGCATGTGTAACTGGTGAGAATAAGTTTGGTCTTTGCCTTGGCAGCTTCTGCTCAGGAGTTGCACTCAGTGAGCAACAGGGAGGAGGTGCATCAGTGAAAGCACGTGGGAATGTGTTCCTCAGTGTCCAGAGTTGGCACTGAAGTCTTTACCTCTGGCTCTGTCCAATTTGAAATCCAGGCAGGAAGCAAAGAACCAGAGATAGAGGAATTCCTACTGATGAAAATTCTCGAAGTAGCCCAGATGAGAGAAGCCAAAATAGAAATGCAGTGTGAGATGAGAGCCTACATTGCAGCTACTGCTTTTAATTTTTTTCTCTTTGAGGCAGAAAGGACCATTATTTTCCTACTGGATCTCATTCATCCATCACTGTAAAACTGGAGGTGTGCAGCAAAGGATTAGATTCTTTTTAATCAGTAAGATTTATTTCTAATACTGCCTGCATAGATTTTATAATAAACATAAAACTGTTGGCAAGATGCATAGATACTGGATATTGTAGGTCCTGCATACTTTTTTGTTTTCTGGATGTCAGTTTAAAGCATGATTGAAATCATGCCTGCATCTGTTACCCACAACTAGAAAGTGAACTTTTCCTCTAGTTGTGGGATCTAGTATCACATGCTTTTAAAATACAGTTTAGAGTCATCTAATCACTATGTTGTTTGTGGTTTTACATCCCCTCTGACAGATATCGGCTCCATTACCATATAATGAGCAGCTAGTTTTGCAGTTAGCTCAGTGCTAAAGCAGACTATATTTTCTGGCTCAGCTTCTGCCTAGGTAACACTTTATAATTAAAATAGTAATACTAGTACTGTGCTGTTATTCTGCATTGTTGCAGGAGTTGATACTGTTTGTAGGCATGTTAAACACATGTTGTTACGTTAAGCAGTGCTGTCACAGCAAGATCAAAGCAGATCCAGGCTGTCCTCTTTTCTGTCTTTGTGCTGTATCTGACTCAGCTGACCCACTTGTAAAACAAGCTCTGGACTGTCTGCCTTTCTGGAGTGTTTTGAGCCTTAATTAATGTTTTGGGATCACTTTGGTGCACAAGCAGTAGAAGGAGCTATCTAATTGCTATGCAAATGTGCTTATGTTTTATTTTGGGAAAACCATGATTTGAGTAATTGCTAGGCCAGGTGAGGAAGAGTTTGGGAAAGTCTAAAAGCTTCAGTTGTTTTTTTCCTTTTCCTTTTGCTATTCTTCTGTAAGAGAGGCAGAAAGCTTAAGTGTTTTTGAGTGACTGTGACTTGGCTTCAGAAGTGTCAGATAGTATGATAAACACAATCTTTCTACAGGCTGTGTTGTCATTGCTCTGAGTGTGTCTCCAGCTTGCAAAACAGAGTCAAGCCCTCTTTTAAACTCCATTGCTTTTAAATCTGTAAGCCAAATGTATTTAAAAATATAACTCAGTGCCAGACAAGTAAGTGAAGGCTGACAGCACTCAATTCCACATTTGCAGATCAACTGGATTTACGTAATTGAGCATCACTTTGCACTTTAAACTGTGTCCTGTGAGTCTGTCATAAGTGTCCTGCTGGCAGGGGAAGGATCCCGGCCTGTGTTCTCCCAGTTTTCACTCAGTCTTTCACAAAGCTGCAGACTTCTCAGTGTTTGTTCAGCAGGGTCTTTGTGTTTTATTAATCAGAATTTTTTCAGGAGTCTTTTTTTAGACCAGGAATGTTTCCATACTGTGATGAAAATCAAGCCCTTTCCCTGCAACAAGAATCCAGCCCTTGTGCAGCAGCGTGGGACTCAGGGCTTTACACAGCTAACAGCAGGATTAATCAGATGTACCCAAGACCTATTCCCATATCACTGAGGTTGCTTGTGTGAGTAAATGTCCACTGCGACAGCAAAGAACAGCAGAGGTGAGCCCTGATGTGTGTGGGAAGGCCTAGTGGGGACTGGTCTTCACCACCAAAGTCTGCAGAACAGTCTGTCCCTCCACAGTGATTATTCCAGCCCATTGTTTGGAGCAACACTTCCCTGTTTCAGTATGTGATACTACTGCTGGCATGTGAGTTCTTCCTTGTCTTTTTCTCCTCTTCTAGCCTGTAGCACAGAGGTGGCAAAGAGATTTGAAGCTGGCTGAGGGAGGGCAGATAATGCATTAAGTGGCAGAACAGCCGTGTTGGGAACAGTAATTCAGCTGTAACAGCTAACAGAGCAGAGAAGTAATGATTTAGCAGGACTTGGAGAACAGCAGCCCTAAGAGGAAAACCTCTACTCAACGTTTAATACACCAGGTTATAGTTTCAAACCACAAGACATGGCTTAGGGAAAGCAGACATGAGGCTAAAGAGTCCCTGCCTATAGCAGTTCAAGGACCATAAGTCAGAGAAGAGGCAAAGTTATTAAAATGCAATGTTTACTCTTTTGAAAAATAAAAGTACTTCTAGGGAGATTAATTTTCAATTCAACCTGGCAATCATTTCATAAACTCACCAGTTTGATCTAATGCAAGGTGGATCTCCTTCTCTGGATTATGCATCCAGTTTTTCTGCCTATTTTCCATGCCTCACAATCTCAACCAGTTTTTATTGTTTTAGCCAAGAGGATTTAACAAGAAGATTTAATCAAATACCGGTGCTGAGCTGAGATTTTCTGCTATGAATATACATTTTTCAGGGATATATATATGTATGTAATATAGCTGATGACTCAACTGTGAACAGTGATTTGGGATTTGCATTGTTTCTGCTGCTGGTGTGTTTCATTAAGGCCACTATGGAGATGCACTGGCAAAATGTATGGGGCTGAAATGAGACTCTTCATTCCCATAAAGAGCCTGGTATTTTAGTGCCTGTACTAAGCATAGTAAATCCTAGAAACTGAAATTTCCTTTGTAGGCACAGGAGATTAGTTAACATCTTTTAAGGTTAAAAAACCTGAGTCCTCTGCTGGTCTGACATGCATAATGAATGTTCTGACACAAAGGTTTTGAGCAACAAATGCTTCTCCTTAAAGGGCTGGATGAGGATATCTAAAGGTTATTATCTGAAGGTTATTATCTGAAGGTTTGGTATCCTGCTAATTGTATCCATTGTACCCATGTTGTAAGGGGGATGAGATCCATTTTGGTACCAAAGAATGCTATGTACTTCCTCTGATGTTATGAATATCTCTAAAGTTGCAGTGTATCCTCACAGTTTACCATGCCTGAAGTGTTATGTTCTAAGAGACAGGTGCTGGATCGGTACTAAGAGCAGTGGATCTGTCCCATTATTACATGGGCACAGAGAGAAAGCTGGAAAAAGCCACACGTCCCAGTTGCAGATTGCTTCTTAACAGAGCCCTTGGATGAG